AATCACGACGTTTCAGGCGCAACACAAACGTCGTGATTTATTTTTGTTTAATTTTATACCTACGTGACTTTACCGAAAGAACCGAAGAGTAAAATATAATTAATATAATTATAGTGCAGATCTGGCCAAGTGGCACAGCTGGTAGAGCGAGCGGATTGCGTATGGAAGGCTTGCGGAGTCCAGATCCTGGTTTGGGGTAAAGTCGAACTATCATCATCAACCTATCATCACCATTGCAACCTCATTTGCCAGTAAAAATATGATAATTGGTTTTTTACCCTTCTATCTGGCAACAAACTGACACCTTTTTTTTACAAGGAGTCATCATCAACCTATCGTTCATCATCATAAAACTATCATCATCAACCTATCATCATCAACTTATCAATCATCATCCTCATCAATAATCATCCTCATCAACTTATCAATCATCATCCTCATCAACCTATCATCATCAATTTATAATTCATCATCAGCAACCTATCATCATCAACTTATCATTCATCTTCTTAGGTTTTGTCGGTAAAGTCACGTAGGTAAAAAATTAAAATTTATAAAAGTAAAATAAAATAAAAATCACGACGTTTCGGAGGCAACACAAGCTTCCGTCTTCAGGTGGAACCGTCACAGCCACGACAGCTGTATCAAGTAAATGAGAGATTACAAGAGCTACCACTCCGTATATATAATGGTTGAAGAGGGGAAGGGCCAAGTACGGCACACTTTTTATTAATATGGTAAGGTGAGGCTTAAGACTAAGAATAGACTGCATAACAAAAGACTGAGCCTTTGTTATGGAGAGGTACGGTTTGTGACTACGCCTAGCCTACATAACAAAAGTGTGAAAAAAGAAAAAACTAAACCTGGTAAAACAAGACTGGCTGTCTATCAATAACCTGTAATAGTTGTCTGTCAAATAAGATGGTCCAAATAAGTGTAGTTAAATCTTTTGTGCATGGTTAATCAAATTTTTCCAATGATTACTCAGTTTGTAACCATCATCACGGTTGAAATTATGTCTGTGTTTGTATATTTGTATGGCTTCGTGTACAAACCTTTGATGGTAGCCAGGAGGTTTGCAGAGCACCTTGGTCTCGGAAAAGACAATTTCATGAGAGCCCACAAAGTTGTAGCAATGATCGGCAACGGCCGAAGAATCAGTTCTGGCGTGTTTCAGATCTGACTTGTGCTCGCGGACACGATCAGAAACATGACGTTTCGTTTCTCCAATGTAGCAATCACCACAACTGCAACTCAATTTGTAGACTCCAGGATACTGTAAGTCAGGAACGACATCCTTCACAGATGGAATCAGATCACGGATTTTATGCACCGTACTGAATCGGACTTGGATCTTATGTTTGTTTAGAATTTTGGAGATCTTTTTGGTCACGCCTGCTATGTATGGTAACCATCTTATTTGACAGACAACTATTACAGGTTATTGATAGACAGCCAGTTTTGTTTACCAGGTTTAGTTTTTTATTTTTTCACACTTTTGTTATGTATGCTAGGCGTAGTCACAAACCGTACCTCTCCATAACAAAGGCTCAGTCTTTTGTTATGCAGTCTATTGTTAGTCTTAAGCCTCACCTTACCATATTAATAAAAAGTGTGCCGTACTTGGCCCTTCCCCTCTTCAACCATTATATATACGGAGTGGTAGCTCTTGTAATCTCTCATCTACTTGATACAGCTGTCGTGGCTGTGACGGTTCCACCTGAAGACGGAAGCTTGTGTTGCCTCCGAAACGTCGTGATTTTTATTTTATTTTACTTTTATTAATTTTAATTTTTTACCTACGTGACTTTACCGACAAAACCTAAGAATATGAATCCTTGCAGTCACGAAAGCTTCAAATCTAGAATTATCATTCATCATCATCATCATCATCAACCTATCATCATCCCGCTGGGGTTGGTTAAAAACGAGCACTACTTTGTGCGGCAGTCAGCCGCGTTTGCCCTGTGGATAGGTTCAACCCCCGTCGTGGGAATGTGGAATTTCCAGCACTTGCCTCAGGGCTGTAAACAGTGCGCGGGCACCGCCTCAACGCTCACTTGAGCAGGACATCACCTTCGACTTGACCGCTCGTTCATTTGAACGAAGCGCTCAAGTGAAATCGGGTTCGTCAGTGCAATGCGAAGCTTGGCAAACGGCAATTAACGAACAGCTATTACGCTATATAACACGATTGTTGTACCTGGGTACTAAGTGTTATTTTATAATTGCGTATGCCTCAAAAGTATAGCAAATGGCTATTATTCCCCACAAACTTGTGCTTTCGTGACCAGGACTTAATGTGAATGAAAGAGACAATGAGCACGTGTTCTCATTGAAAATATTGTAGGTACATTTCAAAATATCACTGTCCTGGTCACAAAGGCAAAGTTTGTTGGGAATCATACTCCTTGGTTCTGTCGGTAAAGTCACGTAGGTGTAAAATAAAATAAATTAAATCACGACGTTTCGGGCGCAACACAAGCGTCCGTCATCAGGTGGGACAACCACAGCAAGAAACAATTTCTGAAGTGGGCAAAAAAAAAGTCGTGATTTAATGTATTTTATTTTATACCTACGTGACTTTACCGAAAGAACCAAAGAATATGGATCCCTGCAGTCACGAAAACTTCAAATTTAGATTTGTTGGGAATAATAGCAATTTTCTGTACTTTTGAGGCATACGCAATTAGAAAATAACACTCATCCAGCAACAAAAAATGTTTTGGTTACACAGTGTTATATTTCACACAGATAGAGACAAAGATCACCCGAGGTAGCCTTCAACGGACTGCCGGGGCAAGTGCTGTTGGTTAGCGAGTAGCGCCTAGCACAGCCACGTCGATACACAGAGACACGCACAGACACAGACTCACACACAGATAGAGACAAAGATCACCGAGGTAGCCTTCAACGGACTGCCGGGCAAGTGCTGTTCTTAGCGAGTAGCGCCTAGCACAGACACATCGATACACAGAGACAGAGACACTCATAGACACAGACTCACACACAGATAGAGACAAAGATCACCGAGGTAGCCTTCAACGGACTGCCGGGCAAGTGCTGTTCTTAGCGAGTAGCGCCTAGCACAGACACATCGATACACAGAGACAGAGACACTCATAGACCCAGACTCACACACAGATAGAGACAAAGATCACCGAGGTAGCCTTCAACGGACTGCCGGGGCAAGTGCTGTTGTTAGCGAGTAGCGCCTAGCACAAACACATCGATACACAGAGACAGAGACACTCATAGACCCAGACTCACACACAGATAGAGACAAAGATCACCGAGGTAGCCTTCAACGGACCGCCGGGGCAAGTGCTGTTGTCAGCGAGTAGCGCCTAGCACAGACACATCGATACACAGAGACACAGACTCGCACACAGATAAAGATCCCCTGGACATCTGTGCATGCTGAATAGCCCGTGGCGTGGTATTCGCACGGTGCAGCTGCACCACGAGCTTGACCCGCCCACACTGGACATCTGTGAGCATCGAGAGCTTCACGGCTCATCGGATTCCTCCTGCAGCTGACATAAATGTCCTCATTCTGATTCGACGACAAATGATGACTCAACGCGCATCCGTTATCAAAGCAGACACTGTCGGAAACCAAATCGCCCGGAGGCTGTCGCCTTACCGTCGCCTGATGAAGCTGCTTGTAATTACTGGCGAAACGTCGTGCTCAGTTTGTAAATGTTGTGGCTTGGCGCTCCAACACACAACCGGTGTTGCTGTACTAGTGACGAATTGGCCACGTTCTGTTTACGTGACTACCCTTACTGGTTGGCTGTGTCGGGTGGTGGCGGGTTTAACGACGCATCTATTCGGGAGGACTCCCACCTTGGCGTGGCTGCAATGCTCCCCGCATACGACTCCCAGTGAAGTCAAAGCCAGAGGCACGAACGTCGCTGTGAACGCATCGCTCCAGCAGAGCTCATCAGTCGCTCGATGTCTCGAATGCGCGCGTGGGACCGTGGTCGCTAAACGGATGCCTCACCCGCTTACGTATTTATTGTAATCTCTGTCGAGTGTCCCCCACGCTCGATGCTGATGCAGTACGTGAGTATGAATAACCTCATATACGCTGCCAGGGAGTGTGCTATGTATGTATGCATGTTGGACGTCTTTCGCAACATACGTAGCCAAACCGTGGTAATCGGAAGTGCGGAGGGGTGGACAACAAACTAAACACGAAAAGCAGTTCTACATGAATGAGTTTTCAATTTGGATTTGAAAGTGTGTAGCTCCCGGTGTCTTCGTAATATCGGAAGGAAGAGCGTTCCAGACGACCGCAGAAGCACTTGTGAAAGCGATGCGGTGACCGTCTTTGCTCGACGGCCGAGTGAAACGCCGCTTGCGAATAAGCTCGTAGCAAGCGCATGTGAACGAGAATGTTGTCTCGGCACGGTGTCCGACGTTTCGCACCACGTGCTGGGAGCTACTTCAGAAACTGAAGCGAGCATCTCGCGGTTTCCCGCCGATCACGGCAGAGTGAGCCGCCTCCATTCGGTTGCTGGAGAAGACTAAACTCTTAAAAGTAAACTATTTATATTTTTGGTTCTTTCGGTAAAGTCACGTAGAAGGGATATAATAAAAAATAAAAATAAAAATCTCACGACGTTTCGACTGCAACACAAGCAATCATAATCAGGTGTGAAATCCACAGCAAGAAATTTTGAAAAAAGTGGCGGTTTTTTCTGACGTTAGCAAAAACCGCCACTTTTTTCTAATTTTCTTGCTGTGGATTTCACACCTGATGATGATTGCTTGTGTTGCAGTCGAAACGTCGTGAGAATTTAATTGTTTGATATTTTGATTATTTTATGATTTCCCTTCTACGTGACTTTACCGAAAGAACCAAGAATATGAATCCCTGCAGTCACGAAAGATTTAAATCAAAATGTATATATATTTTATTTATTTCACCAGGTAATGCCCACTGAGCGACATAGCTATTTTTCTCGAAGCGACGTAGCCACAAGTGACCGCCCAACGAAGTGGCTTATCATCATCATCATCACGTGGACATTTATAGCAGCCAAATACTCTAGACGCGTGATGCTGATTCTAAATGTGAAGGGAAAACCCGGAGAAGAATCCACGCGGCCATGGGGGAGGGAGACACGCAAACTCCGAATACAGCAGGCGTCAGGGTCGCGATCGAACCCACGACCCTCCTGTATACCAGGCGAGGTAATTAACATCTCACAGCCACCGTGGCGCACGGAACGAAACGTCGGACAACGACGCGCGGCACGACCCGAGCACGCGTTGGAGATAGCCCCCTATGCAGACGTATGAAGTTTTTTTTTATCTCTCTACGCTTGCATTCAACGTGACCTTACACAGACGCCTTGGGTTGCCTCCCTTTTACGCAACGTACAAGGGAGACGCGAGCACGGGGCCAAGACGAAGTCTACGTTGCTATTCCCTGGGAAGGGAGCCAAGTCAATTCGTTATGGCCCCCTAAAACAGTTGCCGTCTCTGTGTGGGGAGCGGTGGCGCAGTGGTTAGCGCGCTTGCGCTACGAACCCGACCACCCGAATTGGATTCTCACTCACGGCCAACGCCAGTGACGATTATCTGAACCGGTCCTGGGCCTCCCCAAGGTCGACTTGTAAACATCGCCACTGGGGAGACGAAGGCGGTCGGGCGTGGTGCTGGCCACCCACCACCTCGTGTGCCGTTCCGACCTTCGTAGGTGCTCGCTAACAACACTTGCCCCAACAGTCTGTTAAGGCTATACGGGGATCGTTTGTTTTTGTGTGACAGTGGAGAGTGGTGGCGCAGTGGTTAGGGCGCAGTGGTTAGCGCGCTGCGCTACGCACCCGGCGACCCGAATTGGATTCCCGCTCACGGCCAACGCCAGTGACAATTATCTGAACCTGTCCTGGGCCGCCCCCGCGGTAGACTCAGCCTCAAATGATCCCGACCCTGACGCCTGCTGTAAATTTGGAGTTTGCATATCTCTCTCCCCGTGGTCACGTGTATTCTTCTCCGGGTCCTCCGATTTTTTTTCTCTCCACATTTAAAAGCATGCGTTTATCACGATCGTTCTCCTGACCTAGGTTTACTCTTGCAAATAAGACTCTATCCTGGTCTGTTTAGTTCTCACTTGATTCAACAAAGCAATCGACTTGACAAATGATTTTCATCATCACCAGCAGCAACTAAATCCACTACTGGATGAAGACCTCCCCAAGCCATTACGATGCCATACAATTCCACGATGCCACAACCTAATCCTGCTCCCACGCACGAGCTAATTTCATCACTCCATCTCCGCATGGCGATGGGCCCCCCCTTGGAGGAACGTTCCTGTCCTCTGGCTGCCAATCTGCCACCAGTTTTCAGCCATTGTCTACGATCCTTTCGTAGCAGCGATGGGTCCTGCCCAAGCAAACTCTTCCCCCGTCTCTAGGTTATCTATTTTATGCCCCACGTAAGGGGGAAGCAATTAAACCCCTTGTCCAACGTCGGTGTATCGAACGCGCGTTTCGGCTAAGCACGGTTCACATTACGAGCAGTGCCGGATCAAGCTAGTGCGAGGCCTGTAGTAATGTTATCATATAAAGGGGCCCTAAATAAAAAAAAACACGTAAATATTAAAACACAAATTTTTACTTGCATAGTAAAGTTATTGTATTTTTTCATTTGCTATACAGCCAGATAATACGACAAATCGCGAACCTTTAGCACCCAGTCGTTTATAAAAGTTATGGGCGGTATAGTACTATAGTAATAGAGCAAGTGCAGAATCACTGAACCTGAATTGATCGATTGAAAGCATTTAGCGCGGGGCCCTTGAAAGTGCGGGGCCCGTAGCTCCTACACATATAGCTACTACATATGTAGTAGCTAGATGTGTAGGAGCTACTACACTACTACACATGTAACTACTACACAATGTAGCTACTACACGTATAGCTACTACACATATAGCTACTACACATGAAGCTACTACACAAGCAGCTACTACACGTGTAGCTACTACACGTGCAGCTACTACACACGTAGCTACTACACGTGCAGCTACTACACGTGCAGCTACTACACATGCAGCTACTACACGTGCAGCTACTACACGTGCAGCTACTACACGTGCAGCTACTACACATATAGCTACTACACATGTAGCTACTTTTGCTGCGAGGATAGTCCGGCACTTATTACGAGGTCTGTTGTCTGGAACACGAGGGGGTGGCAGCGGTGTTTCGGGCGCACGCGGATGGGACGCTGCTTCAGACGCTCACCTCGGCGTCGAAGAGTGGTGCCGTGTACGGTGCCGAGCACATCGACGGCGCTAACGATTTACAGTCTTCACCAGGTGTGCTTTTGTGTGTGCGTATGGTTTTGTGTGCGCGTATGGTTTTGTGTGTATGTTCCAGAGGTGGGACAAAGTCATTGTTATGCAAGTCCAAGTCGAGTCTGAAGTCATCAAATTCATGACTCGAGTCTGACTCGAGTCCAAGTCACATGACTCGAGTCCACACCTCAGGTATGTTCTGTGTGTATGTTTTCTGTGTGCATATGTTTTTGCGTGTGTATGTTTGTATGTTTGTGTGTGTGTATTTTGTGTGTGTATGTTTGTGTGTGTATGTTTTTAAGTGTGCATGTTTATGTTTGTGCGAGTATGTTTTTGCGTGTGTATGTTTTTGCGTACGTTTTTTTGTATGTGTATGTATTTGCGTGCGTATGTTTGTGTGTGGGAAGGTGGGGGAGCGGTGGTGTTGCGGTCAGCGCTGTAGGGGCAAGCGCTGTTAGCGAGCACCTATGAAGGCCGGAACGGTACACGAGGGGGTGGGTGGCCAGCACCACGCCAGACCGCCTTTGTCTCCCCAGTGGCGATGTTTACACACCGCACCAGGTACTCATTTGAGGCTAAGTCGACCTAGGGGAGGCGCAGGACCTGTTCATATAATCATCACTGGTGTTGGCCGTCAGTGGGAATCGAATCCGGGTCGCCAGGTTCATAGCGCAGCGCGCTAACCGCTACACTACCGCTAACACACGATGCATACAGCACACGCACACAGACACACACGCACACACGTACACACACACGCACACACACATACACATAAGACATGGAGAGCCACTCAGCATCCAATAGTACAATAACAAGGACGCAAATCTTGTAAAATTAGTTTAACAAGAAGGAGGAGGAGTCGGGGTGGGGGGTGTGTGATTATTTCGGAACCAGGAACGTAAACCGATATATACCTCGTAGATATATTATCTGTCGAACGCGGTTTTGCCCAACGCGGCATTTTACATGAACGTAACCTCGCGTTGGGCGAGGTCTGCCAGTATTATTCCCCTTCCTGGCTCTCGGAAGCGTCGTTCCTCTCCATTGGGAACACTTTTCCTTTTAATTGTATTAATCAGCGAGCAGACGGGGGGATTGACCACGGCTTCCGACGATGATTGTTACAATTGTTCTGGGCATAGCATCGGGCGATGGTTGAACAAAAGATGACTTCTCTTACTGATGAGACCCAACCGAGTTTGAAAGTTGGCCAAATGTATTCTCTCATGCTTAGGCACCCTGATCGTGGACAAACTGACTTTGATCCGTGTCGCCCGGTAAGTCGGCGAGAAGCTTCGTCCACGAAGATTAAGCACACAAGTTATGAAACCTACACACTTGTACGCCTTGCCATCCATTGACCTTTTTCTTTCATACCACGTTAGGGTCCACAGAGAATCACTGTCTTTTTCAAGAAGACACCCAGACGATGTGAGTACTGTATACAGGATAAACACAGTTTCTCTCTCTCTCGCTCTCTGCATGCTGCAATTCACTTTGGCAGCTTACATTTAAATTGTTGAGATCATCATATGGGTACTGATGCTGGCACACAAGACAGCTGCACTCGTCAATGATGTCACGGAGTTTTAAATATCCGCTTCGCATAATTTGGTAATTATGGATAAACATTATTGGGCAGTCGTGGAAATTAATCCATTAATTGTAGGTTAACTCGTTCAGATGGTGATGCTGTCTTCGAAATGAGTGCATCCATTGACGACAAGTACTCGAAAGTCATATCATGGGAGCTTTTTAACAGTATCAAAGTATGAAAATTAAGGATAGGTTTTACCCTTTCTGGCAATGAAACAGCAGGTGTTGAGATGTTTAAATACGAAATAGAAACCTTCTTAAAGGAATCGAGTCTGCATTAACCACACGTACATGTGGTGGGCATGCAAACAAGCATGCTCTGATAATATTTGATGCATTGTCTTTGAAACTGACTGGCCTACACCAGAGACACAGCCTTCTATAGGGCCTCGTCTCACCAGTGTCAGACCAGAGAACGCCACGAGGCGAACAGCACAACGACAATGCCACTATCAGAGCATCTCTAGCTCGGCGTGAGCAGCTACATCATGGGAACCTTTTGTGCAAGTTTCAAAGTATAATTCCACAGTCAGCCCATCATCCCACCGCGATCTATAAAATGCATAACCACTCTGTGGGGAAGTCAAACAATGGCTGTACTATGGACCAACTCACCCTCACCATAGGAATGTGGATTTTCTACTCTTGTATCATTTGAGCATGTATTTACTTTTGACTCGATAGTCAAATGAAGTGTCACTACGCACAAATGAGCCGGGGGTTGTGGGTGCATCCGTTTGTGGCTCTAAGCCAACAGTGGAAATTCCACATCAGTTCGCACTTTTACATCTAGACTGAAAGCTCATTTATTTAGAACTGCTTCTTGTTTCGATTTAAAGCTTTCGTGACTGCAGGGATTCATCTTCTTGGTTCCTTCGGTAAAGTCACGTAGAAGGAAAATAATAAAATAATACAAATAAACATAATAAAATAATTCTCACGATGTTTCGGCCACAACGCAAGCAGCCGTTTTCAGGTGGAGAACAGGTCTGTCGAGAAGGCAGAGTCTGTCGAGAAGACAGAGTCTGAATGTTCAGACTCTGCCTTCTCGACAGACCTGTTCTCCACCTGAAGACGGCTGCTTGCGCTGTGGCCGAAACGTCGTGAGAATTATTTTATGTTTTATTTTATTACTTTATTATTTTCCTTCTACGTGACTTTACAGAAAGAACCAAGAAGCTGCTTTTTGTTTTTTGTTGTGTTTTAGTTTATTGTCCTTCCGCCGCACTTCCGATTAGCGCGGTACGGTGCAAAAGAAGTTCAACTTACGGACATAAAAAAAATATCCCTGACCTCTTTCGAATACCGTAGCCAAGTTGCGTGCCGGACGGATCACGGTCATAATTTGATGACCTTGGAAGAACCCCCCCCCCTTAACCTGTATATAGTATCGTGTCTCTTAGAGTTCTCTGATACAGTAATTTTGCTGTGACGGTGTCACCTGAAGACGGAAGCTTGTGTTGCCTCCGAAATGTCGTGATTTAATTTATTTTAAATTTATTTTTTACCTACGTGACTTCACCGAAAAAACCAAAGAGTATGGACCCTTGCAGTCACGAAAACTTCAAATCTAGAAGAAAAAAAGCAGTCACCTGCAACTTACTCAACTGGGATGAAACACACAGCAGAAGAATCACCCCCCCCCGACTCTCACCTCTGAAACGACTGCGCCTGTGAAACGAGGCACCTTCCTGATAGCCTCACGCTATAAAAAATAGCGTGACTATAAATTGTCCTAAATTATTATTCTAATTGTTATCCACCCAGAGTGGACGCCAGTGTCTCCTTCGTTCGACAACCTTCTCTGCTGATTTTTTTCTCTCTCTCCACAGACTATGATGATGACTGTAAAGCGTTCTGACACTTTAATTGCGATTACGCATGAGACACTGTCTTTGAAATGCCGTGCGCGTGTTACAACATGGCTCGCCTCTCAATGAGCCAAGGATGTGGAATAACAAAATAAATAATCACTTATCCCCTTTATTTGCGTCTCCACTGAAAACTAAATATATTTTTTACACCACTCATCAGCCGCACGGACCTCATAGGAGTACATCTCATCAACAGCGTTGGTTCTAGACAATACGAATGTGGGTTTATAGCGCGTGTTGTGAGCAATTCATCTCTTGAGCGCCATATAAGAACGCTCGGGACTGGTTTCAAACATTTAGTGTCGAGTCAGCAGTCAAGTTTGGCCAATGCTGGTGTGAACTGCCTAATGTTTATTAGGCAAGGACCCTTTCGGTAACAAATGGGTCACACATCGATATTGTACAGCTGACAACATAATCACGAAGCTCCTTTGGGGAGAATGTTAAGAACAAAGTACTGCGTATGATCGTTTCTATTCTGTAGTTTATTTTGAATTACCCTGTGAGCCAATAAGCTCTTAAAGCGGGTTTCATCAACAACAAAAAACAACAATACTGCTTCCCCGACATACGTAACAAGTCACGGTGAAATGAGCTCACAATAAACAATTACAGATAAGGGAAACGAGAAATAGCAAAATCATAATCGCAATATAACAAGTGGCTTCTTCGTCGATGTGAAACGTGTGACCGTTCGATTCTGGGAAGCTTTGATCGGATAGGATAATGACTGTAAAGATTGTTTGTACATTTACATTGTGATGTTGGAAAAATGCCAAATCGAAACATTCAAAGAGCGTTGAGCGACGGCCCATTCGCTCCCGAAATTAAATTCCCAACGGCGAATTCAAAATCTGAGTTACTAACACCAAGTTCAACAGCATCATCATCATGCGAGGTAGGTAAAATCATCAACACGCAGGGAGGCTGCATCGATGGGTGCTAGCTAACAGCACTTGCCCCAACAGTCTGTCAAGGCTACGCGAGGCATCTTTGTCTTTGTGCGAGAGGAGCAGAGAGCGATCGCTCCACGCTGCGTGACTCATCACGGGCCCTCCTCCCGGATGAACCCGGGTAAACTGGCGTTCTCACTCGTACAGCTCCAGTTGCAATATTTTTCTGTCTTTTCTTGGATTTTCTGTTTGCACATAGTCACTTTAAGATGTTTTCTTGTTCATGTTTTTTTGTTTGTTGCGGTTGCACCCGATTCAAGAGCCGAATGGCTCACAGGGCTATATCTAATAAATAAACTTTGAGCTTTGAAATGAACTTTGAGTTATCCGGGCCATGAACACTGCATAACTGGATTTCAGCAGCAGCAGCAGCAGCCGGTTAACTGGAAGAGAGATCCGTAATCCGTCGACCCGCGGATAACGAGACCACGGTCAAACCGGAGTGGACTATATTCAAGGCGCATTACCAGACGCCGCGTGAATACATTACAACGCAGATCACGATATCGCATGTTTCTGCTTTCGTTCAATTTTGTGTGTGTGTGTGAACCCCGCCGCTGCTGAACCGGATGTCACAGCGGGGGTGTTTTAGTAATCGCGGATTTAAAACGTTCTTACCGAGGCACACTGGAACTAGTGCGTTGATGCATGGGAGGGGGGGGGGGGGATACGCAAAGATAGAATGACACGGGATTTCACACGACTGCAATTTCACATCTAGGTGGTCTAGCCCAGCCAGATGACCGCGTCAGCTGGAGTAAGCAGAGTCGTGGCTGCGATGTCCCCTTCGTATTTGTGGATCGGGGCATTGCGTCGTTGTTTGTTGCGTGCTCTGTTCTGAGCGACCCACGGTCGCACACTCGTGGTGGGCAAACCGTGTCAACCCAGACGGGTTACCACCGTATTCTTGTACGGGGAAACTTACAGTCAATCGGTTTGTTTGAAAAACCGTAATTGGCACCATCAAGTTCACGTGACCCTTGAGTTCATTTCATTCATATTGCTTCAGTCAATCATTGCTGTTTGCAAGAATATTGTTTTTAAAACTGGACTGTATTAAGTTTTTATTCCACTAAATACAATAAACTCCCTTTGACCAAATCACCCCTTAATCTGTCTTCACTCAACCCCAGGGCCCGTTTGAGATCTTGGAAGGCGAATGAGGCTTGAGCTGGGAGAATACTCACAGATGTCAACCCACACGAGTTACCCCGTATTCTTGTTATACAGCAGGGAAATTGAGTTTTCACGTCCGTACGGCGTACAGCCGTTTCAATACGGGCAACAAAATGTGTGTTTGTCTATTTGTTTGTGTTTCTCCCCTTGTGATGGGTCTTTGTAGGATGAACGTTGAGATGTATAAGGAGCACTGAGTGACCAATACGGTGTGAATTGGGTCTGTAATAAGGTAGGGCACTGATAAGGAGTTGACAGCTATGGGTGAGGTTTTTAATTTACCATTTGTGCATCAGGCTCGGGGTTAAAGACATTAGTTTACACTATTAACGAGAGACAAACTGGGATTGGGCAGGACGCTTCCTGGGCCAGAGGGGACGGTGGTTGCTGGTTCAAGAATAATAACCGAGTGGCAGCCAAGCAACGGAACGCAGAGAGTAGGTGGATTCATCTTCTTGGTTCTTACGGTAAAGTCACGTAGAATGGAAAAAAAACATAATAAAATAATTCTCACGACGTTTTTTCACCTTGAGGACGGCTGCTTGCGTTGTGGCCGAAACGTCGTGAGAATTATTTTATGATGTTTTATTTTTATTATTTTATTATTTCCATTCTACGTGACTTTACCGAAAGAACCAAGAAGATGAATCCCTGCAGTCACAAAAGCTTTAAATCGAAAGTAGGTGGATTGTTACATTCACGTCAGGCAGAGGAACATGTTGGCGGATTGGGGAGGCCTTCATCCAGCAGTGGATTGACCATGGCTGATGATGATGATAATGACGATGCTGATATTACAGCAGTGATAACTATCCCTATATCAGCGATTGGTACAAGGTATTGCTCAGGTGATATGCACGACAGCTTTTAAACTCTTACAAAAATATCAAAAAAATTATCAAAAACGTAATTTTTCTTCTTGGTTCTTTCGGTAAAGTCACGTAGAAGGGAAATAATAAAATAATAAAAATTAAACATAATAAAATAATTCTCACGACGTTTCGGCCACAACACAAGCAGCCGTCCTCAGGTGAAGAACAGGTCTGTCGGAAAGACAGCGTCTGATGCAGTCACGAAAGCTTTAAATCGAAAAAAAAACGTAATTTGTATAATTGAATTCAAGATCCTTTCAAAACTACAAATATCAAATTGTTGCACATCTAGGTTCAAAAAGGCAAAAGTTGAAAACATTTTGTCCTGAATTATCGGTCATTCATTATAATTTGCAGCGCTTTTGTCACTTTCACGCCTTGGTGAAGGCCTCCACACACCACGTGGGTCAAGGGGGTGTTGTGACCATACCTCACTATTCTGGTCAATGCGGGCTTGTGAAATATGAGGGTCAGGACTGCTTCAAACAATAGCGCTCGTCACTGATGTCAGTTGTGGCTGGGAATTTAACTCGGGTCTCTGGGTTCATGGCGCAGTGTGCTAATCACCGCTGCGAATGCGTAAAAAAAATGGTTTCAGGTTTTTTGTGTGTGTAAACTCACAGACTCACCTATGGTCTTCAACGTGTTAGCTTCCCGCTCCTTCTACAATGAGAATTATAGCACCAGCCACTCACTCAGGCCACGGCCGTCTCTATATATATTATTTTCCTATGGCTTCTCGGGTCTGTAAAAGTATATAGAACGCATTGAGGCAATCTGTTCGCACGTGGTACAAAATAAGGATGTCAAAGTTGTTGAATCGTGCAAATATCGACGAATGAGCGTTCGACACCCGGCATCAGCGTCAAAAGTTCAGCCCTAAAAGCGGGTACAGCAAGTAGATTGTGGTCAACTTGTATAGATTGTGTTGTATATATATAAGCGTTAACTTTTCAACAGAAACATCGTGAGGTTTCCCCAGGCAGTGCGGTGAAATCGTATACCCAAGAATACTCGCTCAGAAATTATCCAACAAAAAAATCCTCTTCTGAATAAGTCTTATGAGTCAGAAAGGGGCTTTTTTTTCTCAACATGTAAATGAAAGACAACTACTGTTAAACGATCGCAAACTGAAATTAGTTTCATTTATAAGAAACGCACTCCAGGTAAAAGACAAAGACTCCCCCATATATACATTATCATGCTGTTGGGGCAAGTGCTGTTAGCGAGCGCCTAAGAAGGCTGGCACGGTGCACGAGAAGGTGATGTGGCCAGCACCACACCCGTCCGTCTTTGTCTCCCTTGTTCTGATATTTACACGCCACGCCAGGGTATACTCATTTGAGGCCGAGTCGACCCAGGGGGAGGCCAAGGACCGGTTCAGCGCTAATTGTCATCGATGTCTGCCATGCGGGTGGCCGTGTCGGGAACGCTCAACGCAGCTCTGAGGCTGCCCCCCACAACACGCACAGCGCACACAACGACAAAGACAAAGATCCCCCGTATAGCCTCCAACAGACTGTAGGGGCAAGTGCTGTCAGCGAGTAGCACGTACGAAGGCCGGCACGCCACATGAGGGGGTTGGGTGGCCGGCACCACGCCCGACCGCCTTTGTCTCCCCCCGGTGGCGATGTTTACACACCGCATCCGGGCGCTCATTTGAGGCCGAGGCGACCTAGGAGAGGACCGGTTCAGACGATTGTCGTCACCGGTGTTTGCCGCAAGCGGGGCCCGGTTTGGTAGCGCGGCGTAGCGCGCTGACCGGCTGCCCCCCCCCCACGGCTCCCCGCACAAAGACAAAGACCCCCCGTATAGCCTTAATAGACTGTAGGGGCAAGTGCTGTTAGCGAGCACCTGTAAAGGCCGGCACGGCACACGAGGGGGTGGGTGGCCAACACCTTACCCGGCCTCCTTTGTCTCCCTAGCGGCGATGTTTACACATCACACCAGGTACTCATCTGAGGCTGAGTCGACCTATGAGAGGCCCAGGACCGGTTCAGATAATCGTCATTGGTGTTTTGCCGTGAGCGGGAATCGAACCCGGGTCGCCAGGTTCATAGCGCAGTGCGCTAACCGCTACACCACCGCTCCCCGCACAACGCACACACACACGTACAGACACACGCACGCGCGGAGAGTAGGAGCAGTGGTAAGAACGGTACCTGGGCATGTGGAGCTGATCCCTCGAGAGCAGGGAACTGTTCAGCCGACGAGAAGCGAGACTCGGCGGAGGACGTGCTGCATTGGGACTTCGTCTCCACGTCAAAATCCCGAAGCATTTCTCGTGCCGCTGATCCTGGCGAACGATGGTAGCTTGGTGTTCACGAAATCGACCGATCGGTGGGTTTCTCGTTTCGGTATATTTGTGTGTGTGTGTGTCTCTCTCTCCTCCGACCCCGGCTAACTTTCGAGTGAAATTCAAAAGGTCCACGGAACGCACTCCCCACCCCCCGCTCTCCGCCCGCCACTTTTGATTACTCACCGCTAATTGAGCCGAGCCGAGACGAGACTGACCCAAAGAAAACCTACAAGAAGAATGCGAAGGACTCTAACCGGCGACCACCACAGTAACGCGGATGAGTCACTTACTGACAGTGCCCGGCACAACTGAACTGATACACAAAGACAAAGATCCCCCGTGTAGCCTGTAACAGACCTCTGGGGCAAGTGCTGTTCGCGAGTAGCGCCTATGACGGCGCGCACGGAAGCAACTACGCCCAACCGCCTTTGTCTCCCCAGCGGCGGTGTCTACCACACACCGCACCAGATTACTCATTCGGAGGCCGCGTTAATCTCAGCGAGAGGCCCAAGACCGGTTGCTGTTGGCCGCGAGTGGCACCACGCACAGCACACACGCGCCACTACCCCCCCACCACTCCCCCAGCCAGCCACCCACCCACCCTCTCTACCTTTTTCCCTTTCTGGCAGGTTCAAAATAAATGAATGAACTCCCGGAGCGCGATGGGTGTCTCAATGAATGAGCAGCGAGACTTGTTAGCGAGCTTACAGCACGCCCCGCCTCAACTCCCTCCTCCTATGCTGTCACACACACACACGCACACGCCTTTTCTGCTGTCACACACACACATCTCTGAGTCACCCTCTCCGGAGTCAGTGGGGCGTTCCTCCTTTATTGGCCAACACGGGGACGGGGGGGAGTAGGTGCAATGATCTTTTCATCCTCTTTTTGAGTGGGGCGGGCGAGTTCGCCTAGTTCGTCCTACACTTTACGGCGGGGCATTATCACGGGGCTGGTTGTTATCTTTTTGTTTGCTTGTTTGTTGTTGTTGCTAAGAAACATTCAGATTCGGAGTTCAAAGTCAGAGGTGTCACGGTGATTTTTCATTGCCCGCTCGAACAATCACCGCTTACAGACCTGGGATAAATTCCGCACGTGTCTATGATGGGGGGGCGGGGGGGATACTCATGCCATTGACCCCAGAGGGATGATGGGCTGAGTCAACCCCCTCCCCTCTGCCGCCAACCAGGATTTGAACCGTTTAACAAGTGGGAGGCTTTCGCGAACAATATCATCCATAATAGAGGCTTTCTTGGGGGGGTTGGATTTTCGTATCACGAGCCGCTCGCTTTACCGCTGAGCCAGCCGGCTGGTCCACGGTTGGAGGGATACCCTGAATGTTTGTTCGATCTAAATTGAATAAGCAGCTGTTTAGAACTTGTGTTTGTTGTCTTTCTCCCCCGCACCTCCGATTGTCGTGATTGGCTACGTACGGTGCGAAAGAAGTTCGGAGGTTGTGGGTATTGGGCCAACATCCCAATGCACGAAACATGACCTGCATATTACTCAATTGGGAAACACAGGGGACATCAACTTCCTCCTTCGGGAAAAAATAAACTTGGCAGGACCCTCCTGACAGAGACTCCTGAGACTCAGCGAGGCTTTCCTGGGTTAAACGAGCCTCGTAGTAAATGATAATCAACAACAACCAAAACATAATATGGGTCGCGAAAAGCCGACGTGTTTAAATTACACAAAAACATGATTTGCGACAATATCTGAAGGGAGGGATTAAAACCGGGAAAATGTCAAAACTGGGTGGTTTTTAACTTTTGCCGACAAAACTGGATCCCAAATGTCAAAACTGGGTGGTCTTGGAAAACGACAGGCAAAACAGGGTGGTGCTTTTTGATATGACAAAACTGGGTGATGTTCAATGTGGACAAATGTCAAAACTGGGTGAAGAAGGTGTACGATTTAATGTATCATTTTGTACACGTTTAGGTCCTTGCGTTATTCATCCATATGTCGCCACAGATTTAGAGCGTTCCAAATGATGTTTCTCGTGGGTCATGTTCCATACCTTGCACCACAAACTTCCCGTTTGCATACTGGCACAGTGTGCCAGCTCGCTTACTTGCCGTTTGTATACTGGCACAGTGTGCCAGCTTGCAACTACAGTAACACTTTCAGCTCGCGAACATACACGAACTTGCCATTTGTATACTGGTACAGTGTGCCAGCTTGCATGCTACACCTACTACAGTAGAACGGTAGATAGTGTTTGCGTCGAGAAGTATGGTGCTGCACACTTAGAACAAAACATGTTTGTTACATATATATAACTACTTCGACGGGCAAGAGCGCTTGTTGTGGCCCTTGGCGTGACAGAAGGAGCACCGCGTGAGGCCCAATGGGCCACCTTCGCCACGGTTGCGAATCCGACGCTTCTTCGGGCGGCCAGCCTTCTTCTGGCGAGGAGGTGGCATCATGGTGTTGTCGCGTTGCAGCTCCTCGGCAATGGGCAGCTCGATACCGGCAACCGAGGTCCATGTCGTGTTGATGGCAGAGACTTGGTAACACACCGCACATGCGTCGTAGAGCTCGGGCATCCGCCCAAACGCCATGAGGGCACGAATGTAGTGCCGACACGGCAAGCCCATCTGCTTCATGTACCCGCACGTGCACGACCGAGAGCTGAGATCGACTCGGCGCTTGGCAGAGGCGTAGGCGTCTGGATCCTTGACGTATGCACGCGTCGAGGTACTCTCGTAGACCTTGTACCTCGGGGCCAACGCCTGCTGAGCGTCGATGAGTCCTTGAGCGTACGGCGTAATGACACGCCCTTGAGCGGCCCACTTCTCGGCGTCGCTGCGGTGGGCAAAGGCCGTCGTCATCATGTCTTCCATGTGGTGCATGAGGAAGTGGAAGGGGTCCATCTCGCGAGCCGGCAGGGCCTCGCTGTTCGTGGACTCCACAAAGTTCGTCGTGCGCCAGCCGTACAATGGCGTCGTGTGCAGGTGCGGGTAGAGCGCCCACGTGTGGGGGTCGATCTTGTTGTAGTACGTGGCCGCCGCAGGCAGAGCTACGCCCAAGCAGCCCAAGGAGCTGCGGAACGCGGCCTCGGAGGCGCACCCTTGGGCATCGTAGATGATGCCTTGGAGGTCGGGCGTGAACGCGGAGCCGATGTTGTCCACGCCGTTGCAGATCAAATGCCGCGTGCAGTGGATGAGCATGAGGTCCTTCCAGTCGGAGGCTAGGATGCCCGTGCCACGATCGCAGAAGACCGGCGTGCCGTCGAGCTCGATGTCGCTGGTCGTGCAGCAGTTGAGAAACCAGTCGTAGGCCGCTGCCGTCTCGGACGGCACCAGCGCCACGGCGAGAAGGACGTTGCGGTTGTTGCCGTCGCGCCCAACGAGGACGAGCATGGTTCCATTGTAGGCGCGCGCCTTCATGTGCGACCCGTCGATGCCGACGACGCGTTGAAGACTTGGCTGCAACGAGCGTGCGATCGGGTTGCAGATGAACGCACCCCAGAAGATGCCCGCGTCTTCTCGCACACTGCAGATCGTCGCATTGAGCTTGCCGAACGTCTCCACCAGCGAGTTGATGAACTCGAAGCCTGCATGGGCCGCACTCTCGTTCGCCGCGATGCACGTGTCCTTGGCGCGGTACATCATCCGGGTCGGGACAATGACGCGAGCAACGTCGGCGACCTGGGCAATGACAGTCGGTGCGGAGGTACGGGGGTTGGCGCGAAAGGCCGAACGGGCTGTCGTGTTCGCCTCCACTTGGCGCTGCGTGATCTTGGTAGTGCCCGTGCAGCCATGGTGATCCGTGCACAGCGCCGAGACGCGGAAGCCGCGTCGTTCCCCCGTGAGCTTCGTCAGCTTCACCTTGAAGGAACAAGGTGTTGAACTAGAGCAGACGATGGCAACGTGCCGTCCGCCGCTTCGCTTGAGGTCAAGGACCGCGCGCTTGTCTTGTTGCAAAGCAAAGTCTTGGATGCCGTGGATGGCCTCGCGGCGCGTGGTAAAAGTCTTCTTGGGGTGGAGGGTTGCCATTCGAATGTGAGCCGCTCCTCCACCTGTTTCGTGAAAAATGCTTGTGAAAAATCACGTTTCTACGTCTACTTTCAATTTTTCACGAGACAATATGTCTATTTTCATTGCCAGCAATTAGATTTTCCACACAATATTTCCGCCAATCACCAACGGTGGGCCAAAGGATTGACCAATCAACGAGATGCGTATTCGTTGGTTTGTTCCGCACCATTGGGACCATGGTCAGGAGCGTCAAGCAGGCTGGTCCATCTCCCAAGGACGTCGCCTTTGTCTCTGTGCTTGGTCGTTTGGCGGGCTATGGTCGAATGCATGGCAAATTTAAGGGTGTACAGTAGCGCGTAGCATCAACCAACAATCCAAAAGTTTGGTATTGACGCGAGTCACTAGTCTAGGTCATCACGCAAGGTGGCAGTGCGCCCGCCTGGTCGCAAGCCCGCCCCGAGCTCACTTCCGAGTCCGAGCCGTAGCTTGAAATGTTGGTCGTTGGGGTGCTGGCACACTGTGCCAGCGTACAAATATCAAGTGTGTGTAGTTATATGGTGCTGGCACACTGTGCCAGCATACTAATACCAAGTGTTTAGATGAATGGGGTGCTGGCACACTGTGCTAGTATACAATTATCAAGTGTATTTGACAAATGTCAAAACTGGGTGCACCCTGAGTGTCCAAAACTCAAGTTTTTGGCCACCCAGGGTGCACCCAGTTTTGACATTTGGGATCCAGTTTTGTCGGCAAAAGTTAAAAACCACCCAGTTTTGACATTTTCCCGATTAAAACCACGCGTAGTCCGGTGCTTGTATCAGTCATCAAACATTTCACGGAATAAAAAAAATGTTACGTACCATTTTTTTACGTCCTCCTCTATTCAACCTCGAGGCTCAAATGTTTAAATATAACCAATGAACCTACAGTCTGCGAATCACACTTTACAGAATAAACAGACAGCTGTCTGTCTGGCAACTTAAAACTAAATTGAGGTAACCGCTCTCGGTTTAAGGCCTCGCAAAGAGTGTACGAAGGTCGTTAAGTGCTTTTGTGGTGGAGTGTGGGACAGGATATGTTTTGTTATTACAGAGGTAAGAATCTGTGTCACGACATGAAAACAAAATGACATTTCAGTCCTTTGGAGTTTGGCCTTTTGAACCAATGTTTCCCATCAGTATTCATTTCAAATGCCCAACACTATGGGCTGGTTTCATCAGCACAGCCAGGCCTGTTATAGCAGATGACGCTGGGTTTGCCTGGTATTATAGGCAAAGGCACTCCACACAAATCCACAAATAGGCCCCACGATGAGCACGAAGCTGCGTGCTCATGCGCACATCAGCACGTGTGCTGATGAGACCCTGAAAGTGGACTACAAATTGCCTTGTTCACCCTTTGCCGTTCCAAGACGTCTGCAAGTTGTAGGGTAGGGGTGTCACATTCACCGCTGAATCTCGGAACGCACAAGCGGTTAGCGTTAATTTTATTAAGAGAGGCGTAGCGTCGTTGTGTTTTTAAGACGTTGTTCTCACCGCAGAGAACCGTAGCGACACGA